GGGTAGAAAAAATATTTACTGTTGAATTAATTGTTTAATCAATTATTTATAAATATTTAATAATTTATGTTAAAGATCAAAGTCTATGTGATACTATAAGTTTGAATACTTGACATTGTGAGTTAAATAAGTTTAATAGAGTGTATTAAAATCAAATAATAAAAATAATTTGATTAAAAACTACATTTTCGTTTCGTGTTACAATTGCCCCTGCACTGTGTTACAATTGCAACCCATGCGCGCCGCCATCTTGGGCCTTGACTTTAGTTGAATAAATTGATTTTTTTATTAGTTAATATTAATTTTTCATTCATTAACTAAGTCAGTTACATAAAAAATACTATAAGCTAACTTCCTCACCGGTTTTTAGTTTAATATCATGAAAATAACAAGAATAATGAAGAAAATAAAATTTTTTGTTACAACTGCAGCACCTCTCCCCTACTTATCATCATAAATTCAGTGCTTACTTTTACTGAATAACTTATAATACAATTGATAACTTTATTAACCACTTGTGATGGTAAATGTAACCATCTCGATAGTAAATGGTACGATCGCTCTATTTTAGGAATTATTATTTTATTATTGTACTGATTATAATTTAAATTGTTATATTTATCATTTCAACTTTTGTAAAATTAATTACCATCTAAGATAGTAAAATCTACAAAACAAGTATTGTTAGGGTTACTATAAAATTCTCTCCGTGTAGTAATTTAACTCGTACTGTTAGGACTGTACTGCAATACTGGCCAGAACAGTTTAAAGAAATTTTCAAAACCAACAGTGAACAGCCGATTAGAGAACGATGGTATAGTGTTAGTAATTATTTACCTTGTACCTTTAGCATTGATGTTAGCAATTATATTAAGTCATTCTTTTCCCAATTTTAACGCATGTGCAATATGAGGAAAAAATTTTAAGTAAATGCGCATTTTTTTTGTTAGCAATTTTTAATTTTAAGCTCTCGTTAAAATTAAAAAATTTTTTTTATTGAAATTCGTATTGAGCATCTCTTTGAGAACAAGAAAATTACATCATAAATTTATAAATACTAATTCTTACAAATAATAGAAGAAAATTATTATGCAATTTATGTGCTAAATTTGAATAAAATCAAAATATTAAATGAAACTTTATTTATTTATTGTTTTTTATATTTATTTGTAAATAACATGTCTTAAATTCTTATTTTAAATAAATAAAAACAAGATTTTTTTTTAATTATAAATTTTTAACATTCTTATTTAATACCAAACTTACAAAGTTGAGTCTGGAGTTGTTTCATCCGGAGTTGTTTTGGTCTTGAATTGTTTTGTCCCGAGTTGTTCTGTCCGGAGTTATTAAAGTCCGAGTTGTATTGTCTGAGTTGTTTTGACCTAGCACCTATATCTACACTACTATATAAATCTATTGACTCTGTCTGTATATTCAATCTTTCATCTAATTTTGTGATAAATAATCGTTTTATGATGCGCTGATTCACATCCGACTTTTTTTTTTGTCTGTCTGTCTGCCTGTATGTCTTCTTATAACTCAAGAATGGCTTGACCAATCTTAATAAAAATTGGTATACAGTCAGAACACGTTATTCTGCGAATGATAGGATATATATGATGTCGGTCAACCCAGTGGTGGTTATGAAATAGGAGTCCTAATCTATATTATTATTCGCGATATTGACGATACTACAACTAAAGATGACATTCTAACAGCCTTACAAGAGGCAGCTGGAAAC